GAGTCTCCAAGAATCTCTTTTGCCTCTCTTGGACTTCACAGAGAATTAAAAAAAAATCAATTTGTAACATACCAGTCATAGGTCTGGTATTTGCAATTATGTACACTTTACACTTTGCTGACAAAGGTCCATCTAGTCAAGCTATGGTTTTTCCAGTAGTTGTGTATGGATGTGAGAGTTGGACCATAAAGAAGACTGAGTGTCAAAGAATTGATGCTTTTGAACTGTGGTGTTGGAGAAGACTCTTAAGAGTCCCTTGGACTGCAAGGAGATCAAACCAGTCAATCCTAAAGGAAATCAGTCCTGAATATTCATTGGAAGGACTGATGCTGAAGCTGAAACTCCAATACTTTGGCCACCTGATGCGAAGAGTTGACTCATTTGAAAAGACCCTGACACTGGGCAAGATTGAGGGCAGGAGGAGAAGGGGATGACAGAGGATGAGATGGTTGGATGGTATCACCGACTCGATGGATATGAGTTTGAGCAAGCTCTAGGAGTTGGAGATGCACAGGGAGGCCTGGCACACTGCAGTCCATGGGGTCACAAAGAACTGGACATAACTGAGCAACCGAACTGAACTGAACTGAGATAAATGTCAAAACAGATATAGCATGAGAGAAAAGTCAGCTAGAAAAGCTATGCATGCTTTCTTGGGTGTGCATTTAGGTGATTAATAGAATCACTTTTACGCTAATAAGTATCTGCCATTCTGTAGTAGTATAGCAGATTGTGAGTACAATAGGAAGTTCAGTACCTACACATGCAGTCTGAAATGGACACTGCTGCTGCTGCTAAGTCGCTCCAGTCATGTCCGACTCTGTGCAACCCCATAGACGGCAGCCCACCAGGCTCCCCTGTCCCTGGGATTCTTCAGGCAAGAACACTGGAGTGGGCTGCCATTTCCCTCTCCAATGCATGCATGCATGCATGCTAAGCTGCTTCACTCATGTCTGCATCTGTGCGACCCTATGGACAGCAGCCCACCAGGCTCCTCTGTCCACGGGACTCTCCAGGCAAGAATACTGGAGTGGAAATGGACGCTAGGTATAAACATTTTAGTGTGACAAATGAATTAGCTTCTTGCCTGCTAATTAATCTAAGTAAGGTTGGATTGATACACTTAAGAATGTAAATATATATAAATTGTTTCTGTTTTGTTTCAATATCGATCATAGTAGACAAACTAGAGCTAGGTTAGTGGGAACAGAGGAACTGTTTTTATAAACAATTTCAGCAGACTAATGACACTTAATTTTTTAACTTTTACTCAAAATGAAACCAGTGATACTGTTTGAAAAATTCATTTTCAATTTCTCATCAATAGCCATTTGCAACAGTTTTATAGTGAAAGGTAAATAATTTTAATCGATGAAAGCAATAGATTTTAGACTGTATAGTACTTTCAGGTTGACAGACTAATGCTAAGGTATCCACATTGTAACATGACTAACCCAGCTGTGCATAGCTAACCCAGCTCAGGTCACATTTGACTCACCAGGAGAGTTTGAAAAGAACTAGTCTCTCCCTTGTTCAACTAGATGGGTTCATGGTTGGGTGTCAGAGCAATGGCTGATTACTGTAAACATTTCTAAATGCCCTCTTAGTTTCTGTAAATACCTAATCACAGGGCAGTAACAACAGTTCAGAAACCAGTCACCGGTTCACCTTGAGCAGCACGGGATTGCTTTACCTGTTCTACTTGGTGGGACAGCCACGCCCGTGGTTGGATTGCTCTAGTTGCTAAAATATTTGTCCTTATATTTTGACAAAATACGTATTCCATACCTCTGGTCTGTTGGTTCTCATTCTTTGCTTCCGAACCACAGCTAGTAAATGTACTTCTGCTATATGTGACAACCTGCCAGAAATTTCATGGCAGGTGTCTTGGGTACTTTAAATTTTATTTTCCCTGGTAAACCACCTATCCCTCAACCCATTCTTCACATGACATGGATTCTAGAGTCTGCACCTAATCACCCTCCAGTTACCCTGGTGATCAGTCTCTCAAACACATACTGAGTATAGGTGACCCTTGAAAAACACAGGGTTTAGGGCTGCTGGCCCCCATGCAGTCAAAAATCTCACAGAACTTTGAGTCTCCTAAAACTTAAGCACCATTGACTGGAATCCTTACTGATAACATAAGCAGTCATACTTTGTATATTATTTGTATGGCAACATATATTTTATGCATTCATGGCATACCTCATGTTTTAATTTTTTCAGTATTTCAAAGTTACACTGTTCATGTGCAAATTTTTTTCAAATTATCACAAATCTCAAAAAAATTTCCTAATGTAGTTATTGAAAAAATGCACATATAAGTGAATCTGTGTAGCTCATAGCCACATTGTTGAAGGGTAAATTGTATTTATTTATACTAAATACTCTAATGGATGTAGTGTTTTCTCTTCTGAATGAGAAGACTGACGGATGATATAACTGGACTTAGGTTCTAGCAGAAATAACTGTATCACTGTCCCCACTTCTGGTCTCTCTGTCTCTACCTCCATCTCTCTGTCTCTGTTTTCCAGCTCTTAAAAATGTTTCTGATTTTTGGAAAGGAAAGACTAATCATATTTGCTCAGACTGTGAGCTGGAGCAAAGTGTTGTCAGTACGAAAGAGGCCAGGCTTTTCTTCAGGTGTCCTCCTCTACTTTATTCAAGGGGGTCTTCTTACAATTACTTCATACTTCACACACACTCCTTTCCTCAGTCTGGGGCTTCCCGGGTGGCTCAGTGGTAAAGAATCTGCCTGCCAATGCAGGAGACAGGGGTTCGATTCCTGGGTCAGGAAGATCCCCTGGAGAAGGGAATGACAACCTACTCCAGTATTATTACCTGGAGAAATCCCATGGACAGAGGAGGCTGGCGGGCTGCAGTCCATGGGGTCACGAAGAGTTGGACATGACTGAGCACATATACACACACACACCTACCCTCAGGTCCCTAGGTATGCTCTTTACTCTTCATTCATTCAACAGATGCTTATTGATACATATTGGATACACCGACATAGCTCCTTTCACAAGGTTTGCATTTAAGTAGGTAAGACAGACCGGCTGATCAGAGGAGGGGCTCCAGGTGAGGAGTGTGTCAAAGTGTGGGTGTGTGTGGCAGGAAGTCATCCCAGCAAGTGCAGCAGCTCGAGGGAGGAGGGGCTCTGAAGCAGAAATGTCGTTCAGAAAGCACTCTTTCTAGACATCTGCTATCTATGTGACTCGATTTCCAGCTAGGGAGCCAATCCCCAGCTGTGAGAGGGCAACTGTACCCATGCCCATCCTGTCCAGTTCTGACCCCCAGCATGGAGAAACGGGCCGGACATGGCTTGTAACTCGTTTTTGCTAACAGAATGAACGAGTAGGGAAATTTCCATTGTTAGGGCATCTATTGCTCTAGTTGAACTCGAGTCATGGAATTCTAACAAAGACAATTAAAATGAATTGTGCCTTTTCAGAATCACTTATATGTCCTCACATCTATCATTTCATGCACTTTTATTCTCAGATTACCTGTAGAAAACTAAGGGGCCAGAAGTTGTAATGGCACCAGCCCAGAGTCACACAGAGAGTGAAAATTCATCTGGACATGGAATTCAGATGTCTTGACATGCAGACTGCCTTATGATTCTGAAATAAAACTTGAGGTCAGCTTTTTTGGTTTTTGTCACAGTTACAACTATCATCATTACATAGTTTGCCCAATAATACTATGCATTTGCTAGCTGTACCTTTACAAAAGATTTTAAAATACAACTTCTGCTACTTTCGACATTAAAACAAAGCAAAAATCACAGGAAAGTTTTTTTTTTCCCTTTTCTTTTACATCTTTAAAAATTATAAGCTATGATTCAGTTTAGTTCAATTCAGTTGCTCAGTCATGTCTGACTCTTTGCATCCCCAGGGACTGCAGCACGCCAGGCTTCCCTGTCCATCACCGTCTCCCAGAGCTTGCTCAAGCTCACGTCCATCAAGTTGCTGATGCCATCCAACCATCTCATCCTCTGTCATCCCCTTCTCCTCCTGCCTTCAATCTTGCCCAGCATCAGGGGGCCAAAGCATTGGAGCTTCAGCTTCAGCATCAGTCCTTCCAATGAATATTCAGGACTGATTTTCTTTAGAGTTGACTGGTTGGATCTCCTTGCAGTCCAAGGGACTCTCAAGAGTCTTCTCCAGCACCACTGCAGAGAAGAACAAAAGAACTGGCAAGCCCTAGAGGCTGACCATCTGGGAATAATCTTTGGCACTTTCTCCCAGGCAGGTTTGGGCCAGTTTGCGTCTGCACTCAGGAACTAATCTTTCCGTAGAGGGACAACTCAAGCCCGTGGGCAGAGTTGCATCTATGAAGTTATTTCCAACAGCAGCAGAGGTGCTGTCTCAGTGTGGGTTGGTTCTGCTTTGAAATCAGAGCCTGAGTCAAGGATGTGGAGGGTGGTTGATGTGAAAGATCATTCTAGGAAATGGTGCTGAGGGCTAGGCAGAGAGAGGGCAGAGGGGAAGCCAGCACAAGGCTCCATTATCAAGGGCGCCACCGAAGGTAGCAGTTTGGTGATAAAGAGTGCTCTGCTGGGCCTTCCCTGGTGGGCCAGTGGCTAGGACTTTCCCTTCCTATGCAGGGGTGTGGGTTCGATCCCTGGTCCCTGAGCTAAGATACCACTTGTTTCACGGCCAAGATAGCAAAACCTGAAAGAGAAGCAATAAGGTACCAAATTCAGTAAAGACTTTTAAAATGGTCTACATTAAAGAAGAAATCTTCAAAATATAAAATGCTCTCTGAGCTGCCCCACGGACTGTCCTCTTGCTCATTGCTTGAGGTGCCCCTGGGTCAGGAACGCACTGTGCTTTGGCTGCGCAGATGTGCCTGTCTCCTGGGTTCCTGAGTGATGCAGGGCAAAGAAGTGCCAGGGCAGAACGTACCTGAATTATGGTAGGAGCTTGAGACAGCAGCTGGCAGTGTGTGAGTCAGCAGGAATGGAGCAGTCTGCAGTAGCCCGGAAGATGCGATCCGGGAGCCCCAAAGGGCAAAGGACACCACCTCCTAGGGAGCTGGACGTCTGCTGCTGTGCCAAGCAAAGGTGCTGGGGAGGGAGCCTTTGCAAACCTTCCGCTAAGGAAAATGCTGCCAACTGGGAGGACAAGCGAGGGCTGGCAGGTCCCCCAAAGGGCATCGCCTTCCCACATCAGGAGAAAGAGCAAGACTGGAGGCAGCTGGAGCCACGTCTCCGGGAAACCCAGGAGGACATGACAGCGCTGGTGAGACTCACATTCCAGCCGTTCCTTTTGACATTTTTGCTTTGTATCTGAGACACGTCTCTTTGTCAAGGCCAAGGACCACGCTGTCTGCCCCTCTGTATCCTCGCAGTGTGATTGGCACAGGGCTGGGCGTGCCGAGTGCCCTGTGGGAGGTCTGCCACAGCAGCGCAAGCCCCCTTGTCACAGGGCAGGGGTGAGGGGTGCAGGGCATTTGGGACAGCTGTGGCTTTCTGAACTGGGACCATTGTTGTGCCTCAGATTTGCTCCCGGTGTGGGGGTTAAGGCCTTGCACACTGGAGAGACCAGAACTGGGAAAGCAGAAAGAATCATGACCCCCAGGCTCCATGTTGCTCTTTGATTTTATTATATGTCCTTCCTCAAAAAGGGGGCTTCCCTGTTGGCTCAGATGGTAGAGAATCTGCCTGCAGTGCAGAAGACCTCGGTTTGATCCTGGGTTGGGAAGATCCTTTGGAGAAGGGAATGTCTACCTGCTCCAGTATTCTTGCCTGGAGAATTCCTTGGACAGAGGAGTCTGGTGGGCTACTGTCCATGGGGTGGCAAAAAGTGGGAGAGGATTGAGTGACTTTCATATCACTTTCCTCAAAAAGGGTCCTTGCTGTTCTTGTTTTTTTTTGTTGTTGTTCTTTTTTGTTGTTGTTGTTCTTGTTCTACCATCTTTCAAGACCCTGTTCCAGTCCCTCTTATCTAGGAAGCTGTCTCTGATTAGACCAGGTACCATGGGTACCACTTCTTTCAGGCTCCTACTATGTTTAAAGCTAGATCCTCATACAATGCATAAAGCAACAGGTGGGTGAGTTCTGAATGTACACTTACCAAGTGGATGATTGGGCTTCTCTCCTGTATAAGCACAGGCTTCCAGTGGCGGGGCTCCCTTGCCGTCATTTGTCTAGACTCTGTGGGAAGGCTTGTCCAGGAGGAGTGGCTGACTTGGGGACGAAGACTGCATGTGCACCCCCAGGCTTCAAGCCCATCTCCACTGTCTGAATCACATCACATGAGCCTCATGTTTGTTTTGGAGGTTACAAAATTAACGGATGAAATAATTTCAGCAGATGCTACCTATTAAAGAAGAATTTCATGGAGCAGGCCATGAAAATTTTGTTTGTAAAATAAGACCTAATTAGTTTGGCTTGTGCTGGAGCATAATGAATTAAAGTGGCAGGGTAATTAATAATGATCATTTGGGTCTCTTTGCTGGTTTCACTTCTTTTTGTGTTAGATGTTGGGATATTTTGGCCAGCGTTTCCTATTTGAAACCAAATCTGAAGGCCTTCCCCTCTCTATTTACCTGCCCCATATGTGAGATGATTCTGACAAAGTCATTTTTTTCCTGTCTGGTCCATGGTCTTCTGTCTTTTCGCTGCAGAAATCTTGGCTTTGACTCTCTTCCTATTGTTTGATGAGTGTTTTGGAGGAGTCTCTTTTTCTGCTTTGCCCTCCATTCATCGTTCCATCTATCTGACAAACATCTTTGAGCACCTATGATGTGCCAAGTGCTGTTTTCAGATTTAGAGAGTCAAAGTGAAAGCCATGGTGCTGATCTTAAGGAGCTTACAGCCTGACGGGGATGGGGTTGGGGGAGGCAGAGAATAGTAGCCCTTCGTGCCATAATGCACCGTGTTAGCAGGAAGAGAAGTGTCTAAATTAGCCTGGGGGCAGTGAGAATCAGCTAACTGAGTTTGAAAGCAAATAGGAATTATGGTGAGTGGAAACTGCTGATTGGGTTTAAGAGGAGAATCACATAATCAGATATTTATTTTAGAAAGGTGACTCTCTTTTTTGACTTATGTTTTACTTTTTAAAAAACTTTTAATTTTGTATTGGAGTATAGCTTATTAATAAGGTTGTGATAATTTCAGGTGGACAGCAAAGGGACTCAATCATACATATTCATGTACCCATCCCCCCTCCAAACGCCCCTCCCATCCAGGCTGCCACATAACATTAAGTAGAGTTCCCAGTGATATACAGTAGGTCCTTGTTGGTTATCCATTTTAAATACAGCAGTATGTACTTGTCGATCCCAAACTCCCTAACTATCCCTTCCCCCATTCTTCCCCTGGTTACCATGTTTGTTCTCTAAGTTTATGAGTCTGTTTTGTAAATAAGTTCATATGTATCATTTCTTTTTAGATTCCGCACAAAAGTGATGTCATACAATATTTCTCCTATGGTTTTTCCAGTGGTCATGTAAGGATGTGAGAATTGGACTGTAAAGAAAGCTGAGCACTGAAGAATTGATGCTTCTGAACTGTGGTGTTGGAGAAGACTCTTGAGAGTCCCTTGGACTGAAAGGAGATCAAACCAGTCTATCCTAAAGGAGATCAGTCCTGGGTTTTCATTGGAAGAACTGATGCTGAAGCTGAAACTCCAATACTTTGGCCACCTGATGTGAAGAACTGACTCATTTGAAAAGACCCTGATGCTGGGAAAGATTGAGGGCAGGAGGAGAAGGGGATGACAGAGGATGAGATGGTTGGATGGCATCACCGACTTGATGGAGATGAGTTTGAGTAAACTCCGGGAGTTGGTGATGGATAGGGAGGCCTGGCGTCCTGCAGTCCATGGGGTCACAAAGAGTCAGACATGACTAAGCGACTGAACTCACTGACTGACTGAAGAAAGGTTACTCTCAAAGCACCCTGAAAGGTGGGTAGAAGGGATACAGGCCAGAATTTAGAGGTTAATGTTATATAATCCAGCAAAAGAAACTTGGGATCTGAATTAAAAGCCAGTGACGAAACATAGCAAGAGATATGAATAAGGTAGACTTTGGAAGATTGAGAACTAGGGCTGGAGGTGTGTGAAGGAGAATGAGCAGGAGGAGGCAGGGGTAACACTGGATTTTCTGGCTTGGTGCCTGAGTGGATGGTGGTAGCATTCCTAAGTATAGGAAACACCAAAAGAGATCCAGATTTGGGAACAGAGAGAGGGGGCAATGAAGGAGCTAACATTTATTTAGCACTTACTGAACCACCGACCTAAGCACTGAATATTGTAATGACTCTGTAAGTACAGTTATCCCCATTTTACAGATGGAGAAACTGAGACTCAGAGACATTAAGCAGCTTTCCCAAGTTACATAGTAAGTGGCAGAATAGTTTGTTTCCTGGGCTGATACTGTCCCTTCTTAAGGTGGTGTGTTCATTTTGGGCTGTGCGTCAGCCAGGTGTCCAGTAGGTAGGCAATTTCATGTTGGTATTGTCCTCAAAATGATGACCAAAAGCACTTTTGAGTTCAGTCAGGCCATTTGGTACAAGCGAAAGGTGAAGTTGATGAAGAGGATTTTTGAAGGCCTCAGCCATACATTTTGGCTATTGGCTTTCTACAACCTGATTGATGAAGCATCTTCTTCGTGCCTAGATGTCCTGTGGCCCCTGCTTCACTTCCATCCAACCAGATGTGGGTTTGTTAAGGTCTCTTAGGTGCTCAGTGCTCTGCTGTTAGTCCCTCATGATGAAGCAGAGAGCCATCATCTCCTCACCCCACAGTCTGTAGCCCATGCTTCTGTAGAGAATTGGGTTCGGAAGGAAGCCGATAGCAGCTGTTTCTCCCTCTATGACCCCTTTCGGCCTCTATGACTCGCTAAAAGGTTTGGCTTTTACCGGTGAGGACTTTTTCATTCCCGGAGGTGGGATTACAAAGGGAAGACAGGGATTAGGAGAGAGGGTGGGGATACCGACAGCCAGCCAGGGTCTCCCAAAGACCTAAAATTTCCTGGAGCGCCTAGGCGCCAGCTCCTCCAACAGGCAACGCAAGCCCTACCTCTGGAGGGGGCAGGGGCTCGGGGTGGGAGTGGGGGGAAGGGGACTCCCCGACGCCTTTCCTGCTTGGTTTTGCCTCTCCCCAGGTCTCTTTATGTTGGCAGCTGCTTGAAATGCGTATCGCCCCCCCCCCCACCCACTCCCCCACCCCAGAGTTCTCCTGGACTTTCTCTTGCATGGTTCAGACCCAAGTCTTCGACCAAACATCTGGCCTCACCAGACCGGACCTGTAGTGCTGAAAGTCTGGGGAGAAGAAAATAGGCCAGGAATCAGAAAATGCTTCCCAAGACAGTGTGAGTCTTCGGGGGAAGTCGAGTCCTTCCTGGGGACTCCTAGCCGGCAGGTAGATCAAACGCCGTGGGGAGGGCTGGACCGAACAGAGCAACAGCCAGGAGGATAACTAAGGCAAGCTCTTGGATGCTTTCCCTCTCTCACTTCGGAGATTCCCTGACCTCTCTGGCCCTTCAGGGTTTGTCCAAGATCGGGAGCTGCTCCCGCACAGGCTAGAGGGCTTATTCCGACCTTGGTTGGCTGTGCTGAAGACCTGCGTTTTCTCAAAGGGTCGGGGGCAGTGGTGGTTGGTGGGGGGGGCTGGGGACCGCCCTCTGATCCCCATGTGTGGTTTCTGAGAGAACCCTGTCATCTTGTCCCACAGACCTCAGAACTCCTCCTCACTTCTCTCAAAGCTTCTCCATTTAAAGACGTGTAGCTGGTCTCCCTACATCCCTCCTCACAAGTGGCCGCTGAAGTCTTGCCCTTCGTCTAGGTTGGTGTGGTCTGTTACTACCTTTTGATCTTCCTACTCAAGGCATCTTCTCTCCACGGTGAAATTTCATGACCGCTCACTCTGGCATCCCGCACAAGCCCACGTCTCAAGACATGGCCTGCTAACCTTTCTACTAACAAAAGCGTGGATGCAGTTACGTGATCCCTCCGCACCACGGTGTCTAATTTAGCATACTTCCTCTGTAGGGACATCCAAGGGAAATATTTCTCACGTGAAATGATTTTTGGAGACGTTCCAAATCAACAAGTCCCCTCTCTACCCTCCAGGGATTGGAGGGCTGTGGATTTGCCAAAGTTAATAATATTAATCTGTCCGTCATATTAGAAAGTCCTTGTGCTGGGGAATAAAGGGAGTTACTCTCTCCAGGCTGAATCCTGTATGGTATTGCTTGCTTCTCTGCCGAGTCCATCCTGTGAGTTCCCTGGGGGGCACCGCTGGATCCCAGTTCACCCCTTTCCTAGGATTTCTAATCACCAGGT